CAGAGTCTTTATGCAGGGTTTCTTGTAGGGCAGCCACGTGTACCCTGTGGTTGTTTAGCAGTTTGGCAAGTTCAAGTTTCTTATTTCTTATTCCACAGATGTTCAGCTGCAGAATATTGAGCATCTGTGTATTTTTTGCTGTGCTGTCTGAGTTCTCTTTGCTCCCCCCCCCCCCAATCTTCCTCCTCCTGGGGTGTCTGATTTTCCTATTTATTTCAAATTTTCCAGTAGCCAATTTTTCGCACATGACAGCCTGGTTTCCCACTGTCTGGCGCGGGCCTTGATAGACGAGGCGACGACCGATCTCGTATGTATTCTTAAATTTTGACATATTCATGGCATTGTGGTGCTGTGGTGTCTGTGGATTACCTACCTCCCCGGGCAGCAGCTAGAAATGCCCTGTACCAGTTCTAAAGGAAATATGGGTTGTGTTTCTGCCTTCCCCTTTAAAACGTAGCTAAGGTGGGGCTCACAGTGTGCTCATTCCCCGCCACCAGATTGCCTGCAGGTTTCGCTGAGCTCTTCATGGCTCTAAGCATGGCCTAAGCATGAGTAGTTGGGGCAACTGGATCGTCACGTCCTGAGTCCCTGTGCCTTCACGATAGTTTCCGGTATTCAGGGGGGGTTAGCATACTTGTTTCCATTCCTAAGACTGTTCAGCACACCTCTGGCTCCTTCCCTCCCACAGGGGGCAGTACGGTGTGGTGCACCGGGTTTATTATCGAGGTTTGCTCCTCTAGATTCATTGTGTTTTGCCTGGGGATTCGCACCCCCAGTTACCAGGACTACCTCGGGGAGGCTGTGACTCTTCGCCACGCACAATGGTCTTAAGGTAAGAGAGGTTTTGCTAGGTCAAGAGGCTGACACCACAATGGACGCTCCTTTCGTGAACAGATATTCACTAGACCTAGGGTGAAGTAAGGGGGGGGGGACCCACTACCCACAACACCATCTAGTCCTCCGTTACATTCTATCCTCCACAATCACTTCGATATCATGGATGTGATCTAGTCCTCCGTTACATTCTATCCTCCACAATAGGTTCAGTTTCATGGATAAATCTAGTCCGGTACCTTTGGGGTCGGCGATCAATGTTCGCCTGATGCTTTCTCTTGGACTTCCTCGCTTCCTGAATTCCCTTATTTCCTATTTCAAAGGCTGCCATCGGCGACCTGGTCATCCATTGGCTCACCGATAGACGACCTCGTCGCCGTTGGGGCTATTTATGGGTTTGTCTTCTGTGATCGAATCGACACTGCAAGAGCTCTTTCAGAGCTACTTCCTGGCCTGCCAAACTTAGCAATTTTATGTGGCGCAAATAACCTAGTCACAATTATAACCTTAGGCTAGCCTTTCGGTTATGCTGGTTGAAAGTGTTGGTTTTGTTTTTTGCAAAGCTACCACTACTGCTACCACCAAAGCGTATTTTGTGAATATCTATCTGTTTCTTCTCAGAATGTGCCCAATAGAGTGCCATATCTGTCTGTTTCTTCTCAGAATGTGCCCAATTGAGTGCCATCTCTGTCCGTTTGTTCTCAGAATGTGCCCAATAGTGTGCCATCTGTCTGTTTCTTCTCAGAATGTGCCCAATAGAATGCAATCTCTGTCTGTTTCTTCTCGGAATGTGCCCAATAAAGTGCCATCTCTGTCCGTTTCTTCTCAGAATGTGCCCAATAGAGTGCTTTCTGTCTGTTTGTTCTTAGAATGTGCCCAATAGAGTGCCATCTCTGTCTGTTCTCAGAATGTGCCCAATAGAATGCCATCTCTGTGTGTTTCTTCTCAGAATGTGCCCAATAGGGTGCCATCTGTCTGTTTCTTCTCAGAATGTGCCTAATAGAGTACATCTCTGTCCGTTTGTTCTCAGAATGTGCCCAATAGAATACCATCTCTGTCTGTTCTCAGAATGTGCCTAATAGAATGCCATCTCTGTGTGTTTCTTCTCAGAATGTGCCCAATAGGGTGCCATCTGTCTGTTTCTTCTCAGAATGTGCCTAATAGAGTACATCTCTGTCCGTTTGTTCTCAGAATGTGCCCAATAGAATACCATCTCTGTTCGTTTGTTCTCAAAATATGCCTAATAGAGTGCCTTCTCTGTTTGTTTGTTCTCAGAATGTGCCCAATAGAGTGCCATCTCTGTCTGTTTCTTCTTAGAATGTGCCCAATAGAGTGCCATCTCTGTCTGTTTCTTCTCGGAATGTGCCCAATAAAGTGCCATCTCTGTCCGTTTCTTCTCAGAATGTGCCCAATAGAGTGTCATCTGTCTGTTTCTTCTCAGAATGTGCCCAATAGAGTGCCATCTCTGTCTGTTCTCAGAATGTGCCCAATAGAATGCCATCTCTGTCCGTTTGTTCTCAGAATGTGCCCAATAGAGTGCCATCTCTGTCCGTTTCTTCTCAGAATGAGCCCAATAGAGTGCCATTTCTGTCTGTTTCTTCTCAGAATGTGCTCGAGTGCCATCTCTGTCCGTTTCTTCTCAAAATGCGCCCAATAGAGTGCCATCTCTGTTTCTTCTCAGAATGTTCCCAATAGAGTGCCATCTCTGTCCGTTTCTTCTCAGAATGTACCCAGTAAAGTGCCATCTCTGTCTGTTTCTTCTCAGAATGTGCCCAATAGAGTGCCATTTCTGTCTGTTTCTTTTCAGAATGTGCCCAATAGAGTGCCATCTCTGTCCGTTTCTTCTCAAAATGTGCCCAATAGAGTGCTATTTCTGTCCGTTTGTTCTCAGAATGTGCCTAATAGAGTGCCATCTCTTCCGTTTGTTCTCAGAATGTGCCCAATAGAGTGCCATCTCTGTCAGTTTCTTCTCAAAATGTGCCCAATAGAGTGCCATTTCTGTCCGTTTGTTCTCAGAATGTGCCCAATAGAGTGCCATCTCTGTCTCATAACTGTCGATACTAATGCTTGCCTAGACCTTTTGTTTGATTTCCGATCTTTCTTTTCATCCTACCTAATGTTTGTTGTTGGCATCTGTGGTTTGGTCGTTGCGAAAGAGCTTCGTAATGCCGGGTGCCGGGTTCGATCCCAGCTGCGGGCCTTGCGCTTTGTGTTGGATTCAACAGTGGTATCGAGGAGCCGACTGTGCAGAGAGCAGTGGCAAACTACTGGACGTACATTTCCCTAGAAAAACCTCAACAGCCAAAAAATGATGTTGCTGGTTCTGCAACGTCCTGTAAAGGATACCCAACTAACTTAATGTGTGTTGTTTTCAGCAGAAATGTGTTTTCAGACATATTAAAACTGAAATAACATTACACCTGAAAATACTGAACCTGTTTTAAAACTGTCCACTCAGAGTTCACAATTGTGTTCAGTGTTTTACAAGCTGCTGATGCCCTGCTTGCTGGTGTGTGTTATAGTTTTCTTCCTTTGTGTTTCCTTGATTATCAAGAGTATTACATAACAAGTTAATTGTTTCGAATACTTTAATTCATTTTTGTCTATAGTGTGACATCTGCTTGATCTGTTATTGGCGTCTTCAAAATATTATCTTTTCATAATTTATTTGTAGCCCAAATTTTGTTGCTGTATCCCCCCCCCCCCCTAAATTTCGGTTTTTCTTTACATTTCATTGCTCTTTTCATTTATCAGAACATTATCTTTTAACTTTGTGTCCCTAACTCAGTCAGTGATGGTGATTCCAAACCGTTTCTTCAAACCATTCAGTCGATAGCTATTTAAAAAAAAAAAAAAGTTGACGAAATAAAATACATCTCTATTTTACTCTAGTTTCAGCTGCAAACCAATCACTTCAGCCAACTATCATCTGTTCATGCTGCAAACTCTTTACCTCCATTAATATCTTTAATAATAAATAGTTTTTTTATGGGTACACCACTGTATTCCAAAATTCCCCAGAGTATTCACAAATCCCCATAGTATTCCCAAATTTCCCAGAAGTAATGTTTAATGCAAACTTTCAAAAGTCGGTGCAGTTCAAAATAAGAGGCTGGTGTTTTTCAATAAATAAAAGTCTCCGGACAATGGCCTGATTGAAGTATCTTCTATCAGGTGAGAATCCTGCTAGTTCCACTCCTTGACTGTGTCCACTAGCACCTTCCAGGTGAGAATCCTGCTAGTTCCACTCCCTGATTGTGTCCAGGTGAGAATCCTGCTAGTTCCACTCCCTTGACTGTGTCCACTAGCACCTTCCAGGTGAGAATCCTGCTTGTTCCACTCCCTTGACTGTGTCCACTAGCACCTTCCAGGTGAGAATCCTGCTTGTTCCACTCCCTTGACTGTGTCCACTCGCACCTTCCAGGTGAGAATCCTGCTTGTTCCACTCCCTTGATTGTGACCACTCCCACCTTCCAGGTGAGAATCCTGCTTGTTCCACTCCCTTGATTGTGTCCACTAGCACCTTCCAGGTGAGAATCCTGCTTGTTCCACTCCCTTGACTGTGTCCACTCCCACCTTCCAGGTGAGAATCCTGCTTGTTCCACTCCCTTGATTGTGTCCACTAGCACCTTCCAGGTAAGAATCCTGCTAGTTCCACTCCCTTGATTGTGTCCACTCCCTTGATTGTGTCCACTCCCTTGATTGTGTCCACTCCCTTGATTGTGTCCACTCCCTTGATTGTGTCCACTCCCACCTAAATTTAACTGAGAATTATTTTACAAAAAGTCTTGGACATTATTGATTTTAGAGTCATTCTTTTCCAGCTGATGCAGAGTTTAACTCTTTGATACAGTGTTTAACTCTTTGATACAGTGTTTAACTCTTTGATACAGTGTTTAACTCTTTGATACAGTGTTTAACTCTTTGATACAGTGTTTAACTCTTTGGTACAGTGTTTAACTCTTTGATACCGTGTTTAACTCTTTGATACAGTGTTTAACTCTTTGATACAGTGTTTAACTCTTTGATACAGTGTTTAACTCTTTGATACAGTGTTTAACTCTTTGATACAGTGTTTAAAAGGAATGTGTGTAAAAGAGTGGGAGCGTGTGCTTTCATATGTGTGTGTATGAGGGCGCTGCCTTTTATCTAGCAATAATTTTCAGATTGGCAAGTGGCAGAGCATCGAGGGGGAGGGTACCGTCCACACCCAGTTAGTGGAGCTGGTGGATCAGATGAGACAAATGTTGACTCAGGCTTCACAGTCAGGTATATCTGTCTGTCTATTCACAGTCATTTCTGTCTGTCTGTGTATCCACCTTTAGGTATATCTGTCTGTCCACAGTCATATATGTCTGTTTGTTCACAGTCAGGTCCGTCTGTCTGTGTGTCCACCTTTAGGTATATCTGTCTGTCCACAGTCATATATGTCTGTTTGTTCAGTCAGGTCCGTCTGTCTGTGTGTCCCGTTGCATGTCAACAACAAAAACACACAGACACAGTCCAACACGCACACACACACAAGCACTTGTACGCCCACGCACAAACAAGCACTCGCACGCTCACACACAGACGTTGATTACACGATACAAGGAGACCATCGAAAAGGTGAAAGAAATTGGCTGGTAGTCAGCATTCTAACTAAGCATCTATGGACTCAAGAATACTACTATTTTTGTGTCATGAATATTCTAAAGCTGCATGCACAAAATCATTGCGCTCTAACAGGCAGTTTTCCAGAAAATGGCTTGCAAGTGTTTTCATACCATCTTGAACGAACTATAGAGCAAATTATTTTAAGGGGAAAAAAAAGAACATTTGAAAAAATAAAATTCGAGAATTCTAAAAGAAAATATATGGGGAAAATAGTATAAAAAATCAGGAATATAGCACAACAAGATGAGAAACGACCTTAAGAAGTGCATCTATAATATGGCACAACAACAACAAGCACGGTTCTAGCACCAGATCTATTCAACTGGCTGAATGAAGCAAGATAATTTTCACTGCCAGGATTGAATACTCGGGTCGGACTCGGAGAATAATTTTCAATAGACGTTTCTAAATACTTAGATAAACTGTGGCTGTGAGAGTCTGCTTCTCTAAAAAAAATTCTTTGTGAATGACTCCTTTGATATCGTAAAAACACACCAACATTGTCTTCGCTTTGATGTCGTAAAAGCACACCAACATTGTCTTCGCTTTGATGTCGTAAAAGCACACCAACATTGTCTTCACTTTGATGTCGTAAAAGCACACCAATATTGTCTTCACTTTGATGTCGTAAAAGCACACCAACATTGTCCTCACTTTGATGTCGTAAAAGCACACCAACATTGTCTTCACTTTGATGTCGTAAAAGCACACCAACATTGTCTTCATTTTGATGTCGTAAAAGCACACCAACATTGTCTTCACTTTGATGTTGTAAAAGCACACCAATATTGTCTTCACTTTGATGTCGTAAAAGCACACCAACATTGTCTTCACTTTGATGTGGTAAAAGCACACCGACATTGCCTTCACTTTGATGTGGTAAAAGCACACCAGCATTGTCTTCACTTTGATGTGGTAAAAGCACACCGACATTGTCTTCACTTTGATGTCGTAAAAGCACACCAGCATTGTCTTCACTTTGATGTGGTAAAAGCACACCGACATTGTCTTCTATTTGATGTCGTAATAGCACACCGACATTGTCTTCACTTTGATGTGGTAAAAGCACACCGACATTGTCTTCACTTTGATGTCGTAAAAGCACACTGACACTGTCTTCACTTTGATGTTGTAAAAGCACACCAATATTGTCTTCACTTTGATGTGGTAAAAGCACACCGACATTGTCTTTACTTTGATGTCGTAAAAGCACACCGACATTGTCTTCACTTTGATGTTGTAAAAGCACACCAATATTGTCTTCACTTTGATGTGGTAAAAGCACACCGACATTGTCTTCACTTTGATGTGGTAAAAGCACACCGACATTGTCTTCACTTTGATTTTGTAAAAGCACACCAACATTTTCTTCACTTTGATGTTGTGAAAGCACACCAATATTGTCTTCACTTTGATGTGGTAAAAGCACACCAACATTGTCTTCACTTTGATGTGGTAAAAGCACACCGACATTGTCTTCACTTTGATGTTGTAAAAGCACACCAGCATTGTCTTCACTTTGATGTTGTAAAAGCACACCAACATTGTCTTCACTTTGAGGTGGTAAAAGCACACCAACATTGTCTTCACTTTGATGTGGTAAAAGCACACCAGCATTGTCTTCACTTTGATGTGGTAAAAGCACACCAACATTGTCTTCACTTTGATGTGGTAAAAGCACACCAACATTTTCTTCACTTTGATGTTGTGAAAGCACACCAATATTGTCTTCACTTTGATGTGGTAAAAGCACACCAACATTGTCTTCACTTTGATGTCGTAAAAGCACACCAACATTTTCTTCACTTTGATGTTGTGAAAGCACACCAATATTGTCTTCACTTTGATGTGGTAAAAGCACACCAACATTGTCTTCACTTTGATGTGGTAAAAGCACACCGACATTGTCTTCACTTTGATGTTGTAAAAGCACACCAGCATTGTCTTCACTTTGATGTTGTAAAAGCACACCAACATTGTCTTCACTTTGAGGTGGTAAAAGCACACCAACATTGTCTTCACTTTAATGTCGTAAAAGCACACCAGCATTGTCTTCACTTTGATGTTGTAAAAGCACACCGACATTGTCTTCACTTTGATGTCATAAAACCACACCAGCATTGTCTTCACTTTGATGTTGTAAAAGCACACCGACATTGTCTTCACTTTGATGTCATAAAACCACACCGACATTGTCTTTACTTTGATGTTGTAAAAGCACACCGACATTGTCTTCACTTTGATGTCGTAAAAGCACACCAACATTGTCTTCACTTTGATGTCGTAAAAGCACACCGACATTGTCTTCACTTTGATGTCGTAAAAGCACACCAGCATTGTCGTCACTTTGATGTCGTAAAAGCACACCAACATTGTCTTTAATTTTGGTTTTTAAAGACAAATTTTTGCCTTTCCGTGACGATGATGACTTCCACTGAGCACTTTGCCGTTTAGCTGTAGAATCGTTGTGGAAAATCCATGTTTAATCCTCTGCAACAAACAAAATACAGAAATTTATTTATGTGACAGAGCCAAGACATCAGCTAAACGTGTCACAGAAATAAATTGTGCTCAGTTCTCAGTGGAAGTCATAGCCGAATAGTTGAGGTCTGGCCGAATACGAATAGTGGTTACCTTACACCCGTTTCTAGTCTGGTGGAAAATGAACATATCAAGATTTCCCACCTTGGTTCATACTGTCAAGCTTTACTTTGTGCACCACCTACGAGCGTACCAAGTGAACGTCTGTTTAGCACAGCTGGAAATATCTTCAGTGAGACAAGAAGCTGCCTTAATGCTGACAACATGGAACAATTGTTTTTTTAAAGCTAATGCTTTCTTGCTTGCTATATACATCCAGTTTTAACATATGGCTGTGAGTCCTGGACATCGGTAGGCAGGCGAAACAATTTCTAGAGGCCTCATAGATGTGGTTTTACAGAAATATGCTTAAAATACATTGGACAGCCCAAAAAAAAAGCAGCCGAGAGGTTTTCAAAAAAGGCGGGAGCCCGAAGACAACTACTCACAGACATCAGAATGAGACAGTCATCATTTTTCGGCCATGTTATAAGATGAGGGAAAATGGAACATGTGATGACCACTGGAAAGATCTGTGGAAGGAGGGACAGAGGAAGACAACGAGAGAAGATTCTTGACAGTCTTGTTGCATGTCATGGAGGTGTGTCAGCACACGAACTAATACATGCTGTAGGAGATCGCAGATTGTGGCAAGGCATAATTGGCCATGTCAGTCGGCAAAGCACCTGATGATGATGATTCACTATTCGTATTCGGCCGAATAGTTGGTGCAGCTATTCGTATTCGGCCGAATAGTGAAAATCACTATTCGGTACAGCCCTAATATTAATGATTGATGGTGTGTAATATATAAAATATGTGATTTATTGTGTATGTTGATGTCATAAACTGGTGTGTGTTGACCCCAACTTTCAGAGGAACAGAGTCAAAAGACGATGGCCTTGACCAACTTTGAGACCCTCTACACACAGGCCATGAAGCTGCAGGTGCAGGTAGGCTTCAGGTGTTTTAGAGATAACCTTTCCCCCCCCCCCATCTCTCCAATACGCACGCACATACACGCATACACACACGGACACACACACATACATACACACGGACACACACACATACATACATACACATGGACACACACACATACATACACATGGACACACACACATACATACACATAGACACACACACATATATGCACATGGACACACATACATACATACATACAAACATACATACATACATACTACACACACACACACACACACACGCACGCACGCACGCACGCACGCACGCGCAGACACGCGCAGACACGCGCAGACACGCGCAGACACGCGCAGACACACGCAGACACATACAGACACATACAGACACGACACACACAGGCACATACACACACATACACACACATACACACACACACACACACACACACACACAGACCGACAGACCGACAGACCGACAGACAGACAGACCCGCGCAGACACACACACACATAGAGTACATGCAGACACACATAAACACACACACACACACACACACAGTTACATACATACGCGGACACACACAAACACACACACAGTTACATAATACACACAGACACACACAAACACACACACAGTTACATACACACGCAGACACACACACACACACACAGAGTTACGTACACGAGCAGACACACACAGACACACGCACAGTGCAACATTTTGTGATGTAACAGCGATTGCTTTTTGCAGATGAACAACCTGAGACTGAGCCACCTGGAGAGGAACAGAGAGATCATGATGATCAAACGGCAACTTCTGCTGCAGGAAGTCAACAACCTGCTCCTGCAGGCAGACATCTCTCGCCGAGAGACAGAACTCTACCAGTTCCATGAGGCCAAGAGATTCTCTTCCCTCAAACGGTGGAACACTTTCAGTGGTGCAGAGAGACATAGGCCCCACACTCAGGTCTCTCATGGAGCACCTCACACACAGGTAATTCATGGAGCACCTCACACACAGGTAATTCATTGAGCACACACACGTAAACATGGAGCCCTAGACAAGCAGGTAAAACAAGGAGCACCACCAACACACACACACACACACACACACACACACACACACACACACACACACAGACAGCTTACTCTTCTTCTTATAGAGATGTTACAGGAAAATTTTTACAACTCATAAATCGCCAACCACATCTCAGACATGCCAATCTCTGTCTGCATCTTAGACATGTCAATCTCTGTCTGCATCTTAGACATGTCAATCTATGTCTGCATCTTAGATATGTTCATCTACATCTCAGACATGTCCATCTACATCACAAACATGTTCATCTACATCACAAACATGTTCATCTACATCACAAACATGTTCATCTACATCTCAAACATCTTCATCTACATCTCAAACATGTCCATCTACATCTCAAACATGTCCATCTACATCTCAAACATGTCCATCTACATCACAAACATGTTCATCTACATCACAAACATGTTCATCTACATCTCAAACATGTTCATCTACATCTCAAACATGTCCATCTACATCTCAAACATGTTCATCTACATCTCAAACATGTTCATCTACATCACAAACATGTTCATCTACATCTCAAACATGTTCATCTACATCTCAAACATGTTCATCTACATCTCAAACATGTTCATCTACATCTCAAACATGTTCATCTACATCACAAACATGTTCATCTACATCTCAAACATGTTCATCTACATCTCAAACATGTTCATCTACATCACAAACATGTTCATCTACACCACAAACATGTTCATCTACATCTCAAACATGTCCATCTACATCTCAACATGTTCATCTACATCTCAAACATGTTCATCTACATCTCAAACATGTTCATCTACATCTCAGACATGTTCATCTACATCACAAACATGTTCATCTACATCACAGACATGTCCATCTACAACACAAACATGTTCATCTACATCACAAACATGTCCATCTACATCTCAAACATGTTCATCTACATCTTAAACATGTTCATCTACATCTCAAACATGTTCATCTACATCTCAAACATGTTCATCTACATCACAAACATGTTCATCTACACCACAAACATGTTCATCTACATCTCAAACATGTCCATCTACATCTCAACATGTTCATCTACATCTCAAACATGTTCATCTACATCTCAAACATGTTCATCTACATCTCAGACATGTTCATCTACATCACAAACATGTTCATCTACATCTCAGACATGTCCATCTACAACACAAACATGTTCATCTACATCACAAACATGTCCATCTACATCTCAAACATGTTCATCTACATCTCAAACATGTCCATCTATATCTCAAACATGTTCATCTACATCTCAAACATGTTCATCTACATCTCAAACATGTTCATCTACATCTCAGACATGTTCATCTACATCACAAACATGTTCATCTACATCTCAGACATGTCCATCTACAACACAAACATGTTCATCTACATCACAAACATGTTCATCTACATCTCAAACATGTTCATCTACATCTCAAACATGTTCATCTACATCTCAAACTTGTTCATCTACATCACAAACATGTTCATCTACATCACAAACATGTTCATCTACATCACAAACATTTTCATCTACAACACAAACATGTTCATCTACACCACAAACATGTTCATCTACATCTCAAACATGTTCATCTACAACACAAACATGTTCATCTACATCACAAACATGTTCATCTACATCACAAACATGTTCATCTACATCACAAACATGTTCATCTACATCTCAAACATGTTCATCTACATCTCAAACATGTCCATCTACATCTCAAATAAGTTCATCTACATCACAAACATGTTCATCTACATCTCAAACATGTTCATCTACATCTCAAACATGTTCATCTACATCTCAAACATGTTCATCTACATCACAAACATGTTCATCTACATCTTAAACATGTCCATCTACATCTCAAACAAGTTCATCTACATCTCAAACATGTTCATCTACATCACAAACATATTCATCTACATCTCAGACATGTTCATCTACATCTCAAACATGTTCATCTACATCTCAGACATGTTCATCTACATCTCAAACATTTTCATCTACATCTCAGACATGTTCATCTACATCTCAAACATGTTCATCTACATCTCAAACATGTTCATCTACATCTCAAACATGTTCATCTACATCTCAGACATGTTCATCTAATCTCAGACATGTTCATCTACATCTCAAACATGTTCATCTACATCTCAGACATGTTTATCTACATCTCAAACATGTTCATCTACATCTCAAACATGTTCATCTACATCTCAAACATGTTCATCTACATCTCAGACATGTTCATCTGCATCTTAGACATGTCAATCTCTGTCTGCATCTTAGACATGTCAATCTCTCTCTGCGTCTTAGATATGTTCATCTACATCTCAGACATGTCCATCTACATCACAAACATGTTCATCTACATCTCAAACATGTTCATCTACATCTCAGACATGTTCATCTACATCTCAGACATGTTCATCTACATCTCAAACATGTCCATCTACATCTCAAACATGTCCATCTACATCTCAAACATGTTCATCTACATCTCAAACATGTTCATCTGCATCTCAAACATGTTCATCTACATCTCAGACATGTTCATCTACATTTCAGACATGTTCATCTACATCTCAGACATGTTCATCTACATCTCAAACATGTTCATCTACATCTCAAACATGTTCATCTACATCTCAAACATGTTCATCTACATCACAAACATGTTCATCTACATCTCAAACATGTTCATCTACATCTCAAACATGTCCATCTACATCTCAAACATGTTCATCTACATCTCAAACATGTTCATCTACATCTCAAACATGTTCATCTACATCTCAGACATGTTCATCTACATCACAAACATGTTCATCTACATCTCAGACATGTCCATCTACAACACAAACATGTTCATCTACATCATAAACAAGTTCATCTACATCTCAAACATGTTCATCTACATCTCAAACATGTTCATCTACATCTCAAACATGTTCATCTACATCACAAACATGTTCATCTACATCACAAACATGTTCATCTACATCACAAACATGTTCATCTACATCACAAACATGTTCATCTACATCACAAACATGTTCATCTACATCACAAACATGTTCATCTACATCACAAACATGTTCATCTACATCTCAAACATGTCCATCTACATCTCAAACATGTTCATCTACATCTCAAACATGTAGATCATCTACTTCTCATACATGTTCATGTTGTTATTGTTGATATATCGATTTAGCAGCGCATGAGCCGCTTTGGTCCAATGCCTTGTAGTAGAATTTGCATGTTTTCACAAGCTGTTCTTTTCCTCCGTACAAGGTGTTCCACTTGTCTGGTCTCGGGGGGAGTAGCATTCTTTTAGTCTCGCTGAGTTTCGGGCATTCAAAGAGATGGTGTTCAACAGTTTCGTAGGGGTAGTTACATAGCTGGCACTCTGGTTAGTGTTGTGGCTGTATTCTGTTTAGATGTCCATTGAGTGGAGTATGTTGTGTTCTAAGTCTGAAGATGGTAGGCTGGTCCCTTCTTGTTAGATGGTTAATGCTGTCATTAGGATTAGGGCCAGCCATATGTCTATAAACCTCTCTTCCACTGTCTCCCATGGCTCATCTGTTCAATCAAGTCTATTTGTTTATAGCTCTTATAAGTGTTTTTGCTATCTTAAGGGTTGTCGCTGTAGGTGGTTGTTCTTGTATTGCTCCTTTCTTTGCCAGTCTGTCAGCTCTGTCTTTATCTGGTATGCCTGAGTGGCCTGGAATCCACTGCATCACTATTCTGATGTTGTATGAGGTAATAAGCTGGTCAGCGTCCAGGATTATTTTGGCTATGACAGTTCTGCAGCGCTCACTGCCCTCCAGAGCTTGAAGGGCAGACATTGAATCTGTGAAGATGACAATATTTTGGACCTTTGAAGGATAAACATCCATTACAGTCTTTAGGTGGTATACTGCTGTTTCCAGTGCAATTATTTCAGCATCATAATTTGAACCGAATTCCCCGCATGCATCAAAAATCTCTTTAACAGATCCATCGGGATAACCTATGTAGATTCCGTAACCTGCTTTAATGGTAGCTTTCAATGCTGATCCATCAGTGTAAATATGTATCCATTCTTGGGGGTAAGAATCAACGGTCTTTAGTGATGAGTTCGTAAGAGCGATTGGGTCGGACTGTTTGGTTTCCTACCAATTTAATTCGGACTTCTGGAGCTTTAAAGCGAACATGTGGTGGTAGGTTTCTTGCAACATTCTGAATGCCTTGACGTCTTTCTTGGAGGTGGTATCTGTCCAGTATTTCATGTACACTGTGTAAAACCGATTTGTGATTTATTCTGTGTTGGTATTTCCAGTTTTCTACAAGGTGTCTTTTAGGATTCTTACCATTCATTCTAAAGCATCTTTCATAAATTTCTAAAGTAGCTTTTCCTCTCTGCAACTGAGGGGTTCCACATATTTATGGATTTTACACGCAGCAGTTGGAGTAGACCGCATAGCTCCGCTGATTAATCATTTTTTTGTTAGATTATTAAACTGTTACACCAAATGTAAAATACTGATAGACTTTGTTGCATCAGCACACTGTTACACCAAATGTAAAATACTGATAGACTTTGTTACATCAGTGCACTGTTACACCAAATGTTAAGTACTGATAGGTTTGGTTACATCAGCACAAATCAGCTAATGGCGATCATTGTAATCTATCGCTTGCCAGGCTGACCAGCAGTCAATAACAGGGAAATCTGGCCAGCAACAAGAAGCCAGGCTCAGTTCCAAAGAGAAGCCAGAAATCAACATTCCACAGATGACAGGTGAGATTACCTACCTGAGCAATTGTGTACATGCCATAATAGAGAGGTATTGTTGTGTGGTGAGTCATCATGTCCACACACAAAAAGGAATATAAGTTTGTCACTAGTTTTCATGTTACAATAGAGGTGTATTACTTTGTCACCAATCTTCATGACACAATAGAGGTGTATTACTTTGTCACCAATCTTCATGTCACAATAGAGGTGTAATATTGTGTCACCAATCTTCATGTTACAATAGAGGTGTATTACTTTGTCACCAATCTTGATGTCACAATAGAGGTGTATTACTTTGTCACCAATCTTCATGTCACAATAGAGGTGTATTACTTTGTCACCAATCTTCATGTCACAATAGAGGTGTATTACTTTGTCACCAATCTTCATGTCACAATAAGAGGTGTATTACTTTGTTACCAATCTTCATGTCACAATAGAGGAGTATTTGTTTATTAACAGTTTTCATGTCACAGCAGAGGGTAATTTGTCAACAGTCATTATGTCAGGAAACCATATATTTATACCTAGCAGTAACCAGTTATATATTCATACCTATCAGTAACGAGTTATATTGAAACCTAGAAAAACCAGTTATATAATTATACCAAGCAGTAACCAGTTGTTTCTTTCTACCTATCAGAAACTAGTTATATATTTATACTTAGCAGTAACCTATTATATATTTATCCCTAGTAGTAATCAATAACATCACGGCATATGAAGCGACTGAGCGCGCCCTGGCTCGGTTGCCGATCATCTGATAGACTGCTACGCCTAGCGGCACAAGCAGATTTTGACAAAAGAAGAAAAAGAAGTAATCAATTATATATGTAGTAACTATAGCAGTAACTATCTTTATATGTTTATACCTAGCAGTATGAAAATATAATTTTTACCCAGCAGTAACCAGATATATTTAATCCTAGCAGTAACAAATTGTATATTTATACATGGCAATAACCTGCTATATATTATACATAGCAATAACCAGTTGTGTATTTATACCTAGCAGTAACTAGTTGAATATTTATACCTAGCAGTAAATAGTTGTGTTTTTACATCTAGCAGTAACTAGTTGTGTATTTAGACCTAGCAGTAACCAGTTGTGTATTTACACCTAGCAGTAACCTGCTATATATTATACATAGCAGTAACCAGTTAGATGTTTATACATAGCAGTATCCAGTTGTGTATTTTTACCTAGCAGTAACCAGCTATATATAATACATAACAGTAACCAGTTGTGTATTTATACCTAGCAGTAACCAGTTGTGTGTTTATACCTGGCAATAATTAGTTGTGTATTTACACCTATCAGTAGCCAGTTGTGCATTTATACCTAGCAATAACCAGTTGTGTATTTATACCTAGCATTAACCAGTTGTGTGTTTATACCTAGCAGTAATTAGTTGTGTATTTAGACCAAGCAGTAGCTAGTTGTGTATTTAGACCTAGCAGTAACCAATTAGATATTTACACATAGCAGTAACCAGTTGTGTATTTATACCTAGCAGGACCCGTTTGTATAATGATACTTAACAGTAATCAGTTGTATATTCCCACCTAGCAGAATCAGTTGTGTATTTATACCTAGCAGTAAAAACTTGTATATGTAAATATTGTTGTGAATCAATACACATCTGGTTACTGCTAGGTATAAATACAACTAGTTACTTTTAGGTATAAATATGCAACTGGTTATTGCTTCTCTCTATAACAAAAGACTGAAGTGATCAGTCTTTCCTCTCTATAACAAGAGATTAAAGTGATCAGTCTTTCCTCTCTATAACAAGAGATTGAAGTGATCAGTCTCTCATCTCTATAACAAGAGATTGAAGTGATCAGTCTCTCCTCTCTATAAGAAGAGATTGAAGTGATCAGTCTCTCCTCTCTATAACAAGAGATTGAAGTGATCAGTCTCTCCTCTCTATAACAAGAGATTGAAGTGATCAGTCTCTCCTCTCTATAACAAGAGATTGAAGTGATCAGTCTCTCCTCTCTATAATAAGAGATTGAAGTGATCAGTCTCTCCTTTCTATAACAAGAGATTGAAGTGATCAGTCTCTCCTTTCTATAACAAGAGATTGAAGTGATCAGTCTCTCCTATCTATAACAAGAGATTGAAGTGATCAGTCTCTCCTCTCCTCTCTATAACAAGAGATTGAAGTGATCAGTGTCTCCTTTCTATAACAAGAGATTGTAGTGATCAGTCTCCTCTCTATAGCAAGAGATTGTAGTGATCAGTCTCCTCTCTATAACAAGAGATTATAGTGATCGGTCTCTCTCTCTCTCTCTTCTTTATAAGATGTTAGTGATGCGTCTCTACTCCGCCAAACTCCCTGGTCAGAAGAGACTGATATGATCGGACTCTCAGCTCTATTACATCTCTTTCTCTGTTACAAAAGATTTAAGTGGTCAGTCTCTAACCTCTGTTACAAGAGATTGAAGTGATCAGTCACTTCCCGCTGTTACAAGAGATTTAAGTGGTCAGCCTGTTACAATAGATTTTAGTGGTCAGTCTCTAACCTCTGTTACAAGAGATTGTTGTGGTAAGTCTCTCTGCTCTGTTAAACTCTCCTCTCTGTTACAAGAGATTGTTGTGGTCAGTCTCTCATCTCTGTTACAAGAGATTGTAGTGACCAGTTTCTCCCCACTGTTATAAGAGATTGTAGTGATCAGTTTCTCCCCACTGTTACAAGAGATTGTAGTGATCAGTTTTTCCCCACTGTTACAAGAGATTGATTGTAGTAGTCAGTCTCTCCTCTCTGTTACAAGAGATTGTAGTAGTCAGTCTCTCATCTCTGTTACAAAAGATTGTAGTAGTCAGTCTCTCCTCTCTGTTACAAGAGATTGTTGTGGTCAGTCTCTCCCCTCTGTTACAAGAGATTGTAGTAGTCAGTCTCTTCCCTCTGTTACAAGAGATTGTAGTAGTGTCTGTTACAAGAGATTGTAGTAGTCAGTTTCTCCCCTCTGTTACAAGAGACTGTGGTGATCAGTTTTTCCCCACTGTTACAAGAGATTGTAGTGATCAGTTTCTTCCCTCTGTTACAATGCTTCCGATCAAAATGTACGCTAGGCACGGCAACTGTTTGGAGCCGAGACAAATTTTTGCTTCTGCCGGACGGTGGCCGATGCATTTTTGCTCCATTTGTAGACTGCATATAGCTTCGTCACCCAGCTTCTGAGTTGAATGCATGGTGGGGCACTGTGATCTGCGGATTTCATTTGGAATGTTTTTTCGACTGACCAACCTTGGTGGTGTGAATGTTAGATTCAGAAAATGGCGCGATCCCTGTCGTCGCAATGTTAGTGGTGCCCGTGTGTAATTATTATTGATCGCGTTGGCAATTGCTGATTTGTTGGTGACTTCTGCTACCATCAATGATGAACTGCATTGTGTTAGCACTTCGGATGGCTACTGAATGCTTTAATGCGTGTGTATGCTTGATATGCTGAGAGAGCAGTCTGTCAATCTTTCCACAAGGGACTGTGATAAACATTCTATGTGTTTTTCGTTGGCACAGCAGCAGAGCAACGATAGGGTGACCCGTTTGCTATGAAACTGAAACTAAGACTACCATATTAACAGTATTCCTCTGTTACAATAGATTATAGTAGTCAGTCTCTCTCGTCTTTTACTAGAGATTGTAGTGATCAATCTCTCCCCTCTGTTACAAAAGATTGTATGATCCGTCTCCCCCCTCTGTTACTAGAGATTGTATGATCCGTCTCTTCCCTCTGTTACAAGAGATTGTATGATCCGTCTCTCCCCTCTGTTACAAGAGATTGTACGATCTGTCTCTCCCCTCTGTTTCAAGAGATTGTATGATCCGCCTCTCCCCTCTGTTACAAGCGATTGTATGAACCGTCTCTCCCCTCTGTTACAAGAGATTGTATGATCCGTCTCTACCCTCTGTTACAAGAGATTGTATGAACCTTCTCTCCCCTCTGTTACAAGAGATTGTATGATCCGTCTCTCCCCTCTGTTTCAAGAGATTGTATGAACCGTCTCTCCCCTCTGTTTCAAGAGATTGTATGAACCGTCTCTCCCCTCTGTTTCAAGAGATTGTACGAACCGTCTCTCCCCTCTGTTTCAAGAGATTTATGAACGTCTCTCCCCTCTGTTACAGGAGATTGTATGATCCGTCTCTCCCCTCTGTTTGAAGAGATTGTAAGAACCGTCTCTCCCCTCTGTTACAAGAGATTGTATGATCCGTCTCTCCCCTCTGTTTCAAGAGATTGTATGAACCCTCTGTTTCAAGAAACTTTAGTGACCAATCTCTCCCCTGTGTTACAAGAGTTTGTTAAATCAGTCGCTTTCCTCTGTCACAAGAGATTGTAGTGATAAGTCTCTCTCCGCTGTTACAACAAGTTGATTTCTATTTCCTTTTTATTTTTCTGTTTCTTTCTAGAGAACTGGGTTCTAGCATGTGACGCTAGTTCCTCCACATCCGCTCCTGCTTCGCCGTTGTACGTCACCTCCGTGGGAAAGTCGACCGCTGTCTCAAGCCCTGTAGCTAAACCTGTGTTGTACCCAGGGGCGGCAGCAGAGCTGTCCACCGATCACGTGGAGACACACCTGTTTGTATCACCTGCAGTGACCAGACGCGACCATCAGCGGAGACCAGCGGCTGCCAGTCGATTACAAAACCAGAATTCAAGAACTGACATTTCTGGCTACGAATCAAAAGAAACGTTACAACTGCCCACACTGGTCGTCCATGTGTCTCCCGGAACAGATTCACATCAAGAGACATGTGCACATCAACTGGAGGAGGCAGCTGTAGAAACGGCAACAACCACATTGTGCCCTCTTCGGCCGTTAGTTGCCAGGGCGGGGTTACCATCAACAGCGGCGCCCACAACAATATTAACACGCTCATTGACACCGCACATGTCCACAGTATGTGATTCTGTCCCGCTACACCTGGAGATCGAGCAGTTGAAACAATTGAAACGCAAAGTGGAAAAGGGACCTCCCACTTTGAAGAGATCTGAGGGTGAAGGACTTTCAGCAGCACCTTCCCCTGGGAAAGTCCTCCCACCCCTCAGTTCTACAGAGGTCCCCACCCCAACCATTCCAAAGCAGCAAGGCCTGGATCCAACCAATCCGGTCCTTGCTGCTCCAGTCGTCGATAATGACAATTCCGTAGCACCTTCTGTGATGGGATGTACAGAGAGTCTGCATATACTAGAACAAACTGATATTGAACCAGGCACTTTCAGAGGCGATAGCTCTGGAGCACAAGTAGCCGAGATCACACACAGTTTACCACCCACCAGTGACCACACGAAATCTGGCTCCATACCTCCTCGGAGTCCAGTCAACAAGCACATATTGCAGGGTCAGAGAGAGGAGAAAGACACCGCACTGAAAGACTACAGAGCCATATCCCCTCAAGGAAGCCCAATTGCAGCCAGAGGAAAACCACCATTGCCTCGACATGTGGGCGGAGTTGCCAAGCAATCGGTGATAAACTCTTCTGCTTCAGATAAAGGACCTCGATCTAAGAGCGTCAGCGACGTGGAGCAGAGAATGTCAGACTGCAAGATGGCGAAACCTCTGCAGGAAGTCATGAACAGATTTGAGAAGCGAGCCACTGTCTGCGACAGTGAAGATCATCCCATAGAATTGAGAAAAACCCCAAGTCCAACTCTTCACCTGCCTAGGGTTGGCCTTATCTCTCGAGTACGCCGGTTGAAACCCGCGGCTGAGTTGCTGGAAGAGAGTCAGCGTTACAGAAGTGGTCATTCTATCTATGCTACTCGCATCTTAAATAAGTACCTTCCAACAGACCAACACAGGCTCGATGCTTCACATAGCAACCTACAGGGTTCATGCAGTTATGTCCAGGCAACAGATCATAGACTGTCTTGTGAAACTACGCCTGTACAAAGCAGGGAGTCATCAAGAAAAAACTCTGATGCTGAAGTGAAACCAAATTACTCGCCTCAGGCTGAGTCAGGTTTTGTTGGGAAACTTTCCTCACTTGGCCAAAAAGAACCTCGCCACGAAACAGCATCTGATGGTACACAGCTGCTAACTGGTTGTTCGAGGGTGTCACAAGAGAGAACCTTGACTGACTCAGACATTGACAGACAGCGTGACCTGTCTTCCAGATCAGCTACCAAAGCCTACAATCGCAGATCCTGTGAGGTTGCCATAGTTCTTTCTTCAGTCCCGACACCTGTCTCCGAAACATCCGACGAGACCAGGACCCATAGGTCAGCTGACGTATCGGCTCAAAGTATTGAGACACCGGGCTCATCTATAAAGCCGAGCAGTCACCAATCACTGCCTACCATCACGCATGGCCTCGAACCCGTCCCATCAGGAGATGAGGCAGCCAGAGCTAGAGCGGCAACATACTGCGTGTCAGACATTGCTAGAAGTGAAAACACAAGGTTGTCATCAGTGAGCTCATCACAACGATCACAACAAACAGGCAGTGAAGAACCGTCAACATCTATAGACACAGGGGGAACAAAATCAACAGAGAAGGCACACCCAAGCAATCTACCTTCACCTGAACCCACAGGCAGAAGACGATATAAAATGGGAACAGTTGGCGTATTGTGCAAGCAGTCAATCTCCTTCGACCTGGGTGTTTCCATGTACTCGCAAACAGATGAGGCCAAGGAGTCGCCTGCCAGATACAGACAAGCTCATAGCTGGGACCCTAGCCACACTGCAAGCTCTGCAGCAGAAAACCAGAAAGACACGTCAGCATTGTCCCCTGCCACATCAACATCCTCAGAAGAAACAACAGCCGAGCAGCGCCCTATGTCGACTAGCTCTGAAAGGGAATTGGCTCCATCATCTCCTGGCTGCGTGGAGAAAAAGAGATCCCGGAGATTTCTTCGCTCAACTTGGCTACAGAAATCTAAACAATTCTTTAAAGCTTCCAAGTAAGTATTGCAGTTGAGTATAAACTGTTAGCAGTGCATTAGTTTATTACATAATAGCACCTTATATTATAATTGATTACATTGTATTACAATTGATTCTATTAGGATTTGAGAGGACTGTCTCCGGTCAAATACATAGGAGCTCTTCTTCAAAAGCCTGCACATCTTAAAATGGCTGATAATGTTCGTTCTGTATTGTTTCATCAAACCGTCGAAGAGGAAAGGAAACAAAGAGTATGATCTCCGCAGCTCCATTGATAATTTTTACACTTGGGTACACAATACAAATAGGACACATTCTATTGCTGCAGGAAATGGACTTCCACCACTAGTAGTGACATCAGGCTAGGGAAGACGCAGGTACTCACTAAAAATTATACTTTCACCACAAGTAGTGCCATCTGGCTAGGGTACTCACCAAGAAGTAGACCTTCACCACTAGTAGTGCCATCTGGTTAGAGTGCTCACCAAAAATTTTACTTTCACCACTAGTAGTGCCATCTGGTTAGGGTGCTCACCAAAAATTTTACTTTCACCACTAGTAGTGCCATCTGGCTAGGGTACTAACCAAGAAGTAGACTTTCACCACTAGTAGTGCCATCTGGCTAGAGTTCTGACCAGAAAGTAGACTTTCACCACTAGTAGTGCCATCTGGCTAGGGTGCTCACCAGCAAGTAGACTTTCACCATAAGTTGTGCCATCTGGCCAGGGAAGATGCAAGGGTGACCAGAAGAGGCCTTTCATCGCGAGTAGTGCCTGATGGCAATAGAAGAGGCAGGGGGTGACCACGATGTAGGCTATGCCAGCGAAGTAGTGGTTGCTTCCTAAGGTAGAGACAGATGGTGACTAGGAAGTGGCTATATTTGAATATATTGTTCGATATAGCATTTATTCTGCTAATCTTAATTAAAATTCCTGACACTCTATTGCAGTATATTGCACAGTGTTACACTTTACTACAAGTAAGTGGAAAATGTTACACTTTACTACACAGTTAGTGGAAACTGTTACACTTTACTACAAGCTGGTCGAAACTGTTACACTTTACTACAAGGTAGTGGAAACTGTTAAACTTTACTACAAGCTGGTCTAAACTGTTACACTTTACTACAATTTAGTGGAAACTGTTACACTTTACTACAAGGTAGTGGAAACTGTTACACTTTACTACAATTTAGTGGAAACTGTTACACTTTACTACAAGCTGTTGGAAACTGTTACACTTTACTACAAGATGTTGGAAACTGTAACACTTTACTACAAGCTGTTGGAAACTGTTACACTTTACTACAAGCGGTTGGAAACTGTTACACTTTACTACAAGCTGTTGGAAACTGTTACACTTTACTACAAGCTGGTGGAAACTGTTACACTCTACTACAAGTTAGTGGAAACTGTTACACTTTACTACAAGTTAGTGGAAACTGCTTCACTTTACTACAAGTTAGTGGAAACTGTTACACTTTACTACAAGTTAGTGGAAACTGTTACACTTTACTACAAGTTAGTGGAAACTGTTACACTTTACTACAAGCTGGTCGAAACTGTTACACTTTACTACAAGTTAGTGGAAACTGTTACACTTTACTACAAGCTGGTCGAAACTGTTACACTTTACTACAATTTAGTGGAAACTGTTACACTTTACTCCAAGGTAGTGGAAACTGTTACACTTTACTCCAAGGTAGTGGAAACTGTTACACTTAACTCCAAGGTAGTGGAAACTGTTACACTTTACTACAAGTTAGTGGAAACTGTTACACTTTACTACAAGTTAGTGGAAACTGTTACACTTTACAACAAGCTGGTGGAACTGTTGCACTGTGTCACTATATAGAACAGACGTAATAATAAATGAAATAAATTGAAAGTATATGAATAAAAAACACAGGTAAAAATCGATTTGGTGATAAGATGTAAAGATGTCATGCCCTCAGGTGTAAAGATGTCATTGCTCAGGTGTAAAGATTTCATGTGCTCAGGTGAAGAGATGTCATGCCCTCAGGTGTACAGATGTCATGTGCTCAGATGTAGAGATGTAATGCGCTCAGGTGTAGAGATGTCATGCGCTCAAATGTAGAGATGTCATTGCTCAGAGTATTGAGCAATGGGAAAGATGTCATTGCTCAGGTGTATAGATGTAATTGCTCAGGGGTAAAGATCTGATTGCCCATGTGAAAACATGTCATTGCTCAGGGGTAAAGATGTCATTGCTCAGGTGTAGAGATATCATTGCTCAGGTGTAAAGATGTCTTTGCTCAAGTGTAAAGATGTCATACGTTCAGGTGTAAAGATGTCATGCACTCAGGTGTAAAGATGTCATGCGCTCAGGTGAAGAGATGTCATTGCTCAGGTGTAAAGATGTCATGTGCTCAGGTGTAGAGATGTCATGTCCTGAGGTGTAGAGATGTCATTTCTCAGGCGTAAAGATGTCATGCGCTCAGGTGTAGAGATGTCATGCACTCAGGTGTAGAGATGTCATTGCTCAGGTGTAGAGATGTAATGCGCTCATGTGTATAGATGTCGTGCGCTCAGGTGTAGAGATGTCATGCGCTCAGGTGTAGAGATGTCATTGCTCAGGTGTAAAGATGTCATTGCTCAGGTGTAAACATGTCATGCGCTCAGGTGTAGAGAGGTCATGCGCTCAATTGTTGAGATGTCATTGCTCAGGTGTAAAGATGTCATGTGCTCAGGTGTAGAGATGTCATGCGCTCAGGTGTAGAGATGTCATTGCTCAGGTGTAGAGATGTAATGCGCTCAAGTGTATAGATGTCGTGCGCTCAGGTGTAGAGATGTCATGCGCTCAGGTGTAGAGATGTCATGCGCTCAGGTGTAGAGATGTCATTGCTCAGGTGTAAAGATGTCATTGCTCTGGTGTAAACTTGTCATGCGCTCAGGTGTAGAGATGTCATGTGCTCAATTGTAGAGATGTCATTGCTCAGGTGTAAAGATGTCATGCGCTCAGGTGTAGAGATGTCATGCGCTCAGGTGTAGGGATGTCATTGCTCATGTGTAGAGATGTAATGCGCTCAGGTGTATAGATGTCGTGCGCTTAGGTGTAGAGATGTCATGCGCTCAGGTGTAGAGATGTCATGCGCTCAGGTGTAGAGATGTCATTGTTCAGGTGTAAAGATGTCATGCACTCAGGTGTAGAGATGTCCTGCGCTCAAGGGTAGAGATGTCATTGTTCAGATGTAAAGATGTCATGCACTCAGGTGTAGAGATGTCCTGCGCTCAAGGGTAGAGATGTCATTGCTCAAGGGGAAAGATGTCATTGCTCAGGTGTATAGATGTAATTGCTCAGGGGTAAAGATCTGATTGCCCATGTGAAAACATGTCATTGCTCAGGGGTAAAGATGTCATGTGCTCAGGTGTAAAGATGTCATTGCTCAGGTGTAGAGATATCATTGCTCAGGTGTAAAGATGTCTTTGCTCAAGTGTAAAGATGTCATACGTTCAGGTGTAAAGATGTCATGCACTCAGGTGTAAAGATGTCATGCGCTCAGGTGAAGAGATGTCATATGCTCAGATGTAAAGTTGCCACATACTCAGATTTAAAGATGTCACGTACTCAGATTTGAAGATGTCACATACTCAGATTTGAAGATGTCACGTACTTAGGTGTAAATATGTTATTAGTTCAGATATAATAATGTCATTAGGTCATGTGTAAGAATGTCATGTGCTCAGATCAAAAGATGGCATGTGCTAGGATATAGAGATGTAGTTATCTCCGATGTATAAATGTAAAGAGCTCAAGTGTAAAGATGTAATGAGCTTACGTGTAAAGATGTCATGTGCATAGATGCAAAGATGTCATGTGCTTTTGTGTAAAGATGTGATTGGCTCAGGTGTAAAGATGTCATACGGTCAGGTGTAAAGATGTCATGTGCTCAGATGCAAAGATGCCATGTGCTTTGGTGTAAAGATGTCATGTATTCAATTTTAAAGATGTCATGTGCTCAGATTTAAAGATGTGATTGGCTCAGGTGAAAAGATATTATGTGCTCAGGTGTAAAGATGTCATGCGGTCGTGTGTAAAGACGTCATGCGGTCAGGTTTAAAGATGTCATGCACTCAGGTGTAAAGATGTTATGCGATCAGGTGTACAGATGCCATGTGCTCAGGTGTAAAGATGTCATGCAATCAGATGTAAAGATGTCATGCGCTCATGTGTAAAGATGTCATGTACTCAGATGTAAAGATGTCATGCGCTCAGGTGTAAATATGTCATGCGCTCAGGTGTAAATATGTCATGTGGTCAGGTGTGAAGATGTCATGCACTCAGGTGTAAAGATTTCATGCACTCAGGTGTAAAGATGTCATGTGCTCAGATGTAAAGATGTCATGCACTCAGGTGTAAAGATGTCATGCACCCAGGTGTAAAGATGTCATGCACTCAGGTGTAAAGATGTCATGCACCCAGGTGTAAAGATGTCATGCGCTCAGGTGTAAAGATTTCATGCGGTCAGGTGTAAATATTTCACGCGGTCAGGTGTAAAGATTTCATGCGGTCAGGTGTAAAGAGGCCATGTGCTCATGTGTAAAGATGCCATGTGATTTGGTGTAAAGAAGCCATGTGCTTTGGTGTAAAGATGTCATGTGCTCAGATGTAAAGATGTATTGAGCTTAGGTGAAAAGACAGCAGGTTCTCAGGTGTAAAGAAGTCATGAAGGCTGGTGAAAAGATGGAATCTGATTAGGCTCCAAGATGTCTCATGTATTTCTTGTCCACAGATAAACAGTCGATGGCTGGGATCAGGCGGATGCTGGTAGCACCTCAGGTAGGTGACACAACACATTCTAAATAAATGTGCAACATGGTGTCATTCTCCAAACATTACTGCTTCTAGTGCCAGTCTCTGCATATTGATACTGTAGTGTTATTCTCTGCATGTTGCTGCCATTGCGTCATTCTCTCGATGTTGCTGATATAGTGTTGTCCATCTCTGCATGTTGCTACCATAGCGTCTTACTCTCCATGTTGCTTTTATATTTGTGTCCATCTCAGCATGTTGCTACCATAGCGACATTCTCTCGATGTTGCTGTTATAGTTTTGTCCATCTCTGCATGTTGCTACCATAGCGTCATACTCTCGATGTTGCTATTATAATTTTCTCCATCTCTGCATGTTGCTACCATAGCGTCATACTCTCGATGTTGCTATTATAGTTTTCTCCATCTCTGCATGTTGCTACCATAGCGTCATTCTCTCGATGTTCCTGTTATAGTGTTGTCCATCTCTGCATGTTGCTGCCATAGCGTCATTCTCTCGATGTTCCTGTTATAGTGTTGTCCATCTCTGCATGTTGCTGCCATAGCGTCATTCTCTTGATGTTGCTTTTATAGTGTTGTCCATCTCTGCATGTTGCTGCCATAGCGTCATTCTCTCGATGTTCCTGTTATAGTGTTGTCCATCTCTGCATGTTGCTACCATAGCGTCATACTCTCGATGTTGCTATTATAATTTTCTCCATCTCTGCATGTTGCTACCATAGCGTCATTCTCTCGATGTTCCTGTTATAGTGTTGTCCATCTCTGCATGTTGCTACCATAGCGTCATTCTCTCGATGTTCCTGTTATAGTGTTGTCCATCTCTGCATGTTGCTACCATAGCGTCATTCTCTCGATGTTCCTGTTATAGTGTTGTCCATCTCTGCATGTTGCTACCATAGCATCATTCTCTCGATGTTGCTGTTATAGTGTTGTCCATCTCTGCATGTTGCTACCATAGCGTCATTCTCTCGATGTTCCTGTTATAGTGTTGTCCATCTCTGCATGTTGCTGCCAAAGCGTCATACTCTCGATGTTCCTGTTATAGTGTTGTCCATCTCTGCATGTTGCTACCAAAGCGTCATACTCTCGATGTTGCTGTTATAGTGTTGTCCATCTCTGCATGTTGCTGCCATAGCGTCATACTCTCGATGTTGCTGTTATTGTGTTGTCCATCTCTGCATGTTGCTGCCAAAGCGTCATCCTCTGCTTGTTGCTTCTATTGTGTTATTATCGGCATATCGTTGCTATGATGTTATTTTCTGCGTATTGCTGTTATCGTGTAATTCACTGTATGTTACATCTATTGTGTTGTGTCATTCTCTACATATTGCTGCTGCGCTGTTTTTTTTTTTTCTGCATGTTGCTGCTATAGTCTTCTTCTCTGCATTGTTCTGCCATTGAATTCTGATTATGTATCCAAGGTTTACTGTTGGTCTACCTTGATAATTTCTGGATATGTGGTCTGCTTGACCACGGCAAATGACTGACGATGTAACAAATGACCGACGATGCAACAAATGACTGACGATGTAACAAATGACCGACGATGTAACAAATGACCGACGATGTAACAAATGACCGACGATGTAACAAATGACCGACGATGTAACAAATGACCGACGATGTAACATGTCTGTTTCTTGATCGACTGACTTTTGCTTTGCGCTTGTTGTGTTGGCACGCGTAACAAATACTTTCTTGTCCTACCGACTGTATTGCACTTCTGGGAACATTGTTGAGGGCTCTGTGTCTCCTTATGTTTGGTCTTTAATGCCCGACCTCAGTAGGTTCTTCTGTTGTTGGGTTTTAAGTCTACCTTTTCTCAGATGCAATTTTCTTCACAGTTCTTCTTTGCGATGGCGAAATTCACGGCGTGCGCTAGTTTAGTCAGGTTTTCGCGCATCAATTTATATTTGTAACCATTTGAATGAATCCCATCAATACAAATAGTAACTGAAACCCTCTTGACTCTTTGGCCTTGTATGTCTTGTCCAGGTTCACTAATCTTCTGGAAAACAGTTGAACACTATCTTCTCTGTTTTGTTTTTCTTGCCTCACAATCGACAAGAGTATTGAGAATGTGCAATCTCGGCAAACTTTCTGGCCATGTCATTTATGAAATCGATCTACGACTCACGATCGTAGTTTTCTAGCTTCCTTTAACTGTGATCGGAAACCAGTGAAATTAAATTGATACGCAGTTCTAATTTTTCTCTTTGTCTGTAGTACCGACTAAGTATGCGTATTTTTCAAAAGCGCCCACCCGTTAATCTAGTTTGCATCTCCATTAAACTTGTCTATGTTGTTTGTTGCACCTTGCTGCTTTAGGTATAAGTTCATTCGGATCAATACTGTTCCCACTTCGTTCAGAATTTCTGCACAGGATATTCTTCTTCTCGTTCTGCTTATTTACAAATCTCACTAATCACTTTTAGTCGATTGGCACCTTTCTGTTTTTCCAGAAAATATATATATTTTTTTTTGGGTGTGCAATGAGGAGGCATGTGCCTCACAGCCCATGGCAATGACGAGTGTGAGTAGCAAGATCTGCCTCCGTTAAGAAAAGTCTTTGACAGTTATACCATGGGATGCAGGGACTGTTGCTGTGAAAACATTTATTCTCTGACGCTCAGCTCTCATCCTTTCTGCAATCGTTTCTTCCTTCGTTCTCATTCCCGTCCGTGTGTGCCCCCTCCACACAACACAGCCCAAGGCATTTTGCTCCCACCCTGTATCATTCATGTCCCTGCATGGACACTCTTTATGTCGTAGTAGAGGTCGGCCTCGACATCTTCTGCCTCTCTTTAATTCATCATAAAGGATGTCCGTAAGGACTCTGCCATCCTCGAATCTCCAGGTGCGACCCAACCACCTCAGCTTTCGTAGACTGAGCATTGAGAAGACTGTTTTGTAATACGTTCTCTTTCCAATACCTCAGTGTTGGGAATCTTGTCCTGCTACTTACAAGCATGTATAACTCTTAGACATTCAATACCTCAGTGTTGGGGATCTTGTCCTGCTTCTTAGAAGCATGTATAACTCTTAGACATTCAATACCTCAGTGTTGGGGATCTTGTCCTGCTTCTTACAAGCATGTATAACTCTTAGACATTCAATACCTCAGTGTTGGGGATCTTGTCCTGCTTCTTACAAGCATGTATAACTCTTAGACATTCAATACCTCAGTGTTGGGGATCTTGTCCTGCTTCTTACAAGCATGCATAATTCTTAGACATTCAATACCTCAGTGTTGGGGATCTTGTCCTGCTTCTTACAAGCATGTATAATTCTTAGACATTCAATACCTCAGTGTTGGGGATCTTGTCCTGCTTCTTACAAGCATGTATAACTCTTAGACATTCAATACCTCAGTGTTGGGGATCTTGTCCTGCTTCTTACAAGCATGTATAATTCTTAGTCATTCAATACCTCAGTGTTGGGGATCTTGTCCTGCTTCTTACAAGCATGTATAATTCTTAGACATTCAATACCTCAGTGTTGGGGATCTTGTCCTGCCACTTACAAGCATGTATAACTCTTAGACATTCAATACCTCAGTGTTGGGGATCTTGTCCTGCTTCTTACAAGCATGTATAATTCTTAGACATTCAATACCTCACTGTTGGGGATCTTGTCCTGCTTCTTACAAGCATGTATAATTCTTAGACATTCAATACCTCAGTGTTGGAGATCTTGTCCTGCCACTTACAAGCATGTATAACTCTTAGACATTCAATACCTCAGTGTTGGGGATCTTGTCCTGCTTCTTACAAGCATGAATAATTCTTAGACATTCAATACCTTAGTGTTGGGGATCTTGTCCTGCTTCTTACAAGTATTTATAACTCTTAGACATTCAATACCTCAGTGTTGCGGATCTTGTCCTGCTTCTTACAAGCATGTATAACTCTTAGACATTCAATATCTCAGTGTTGGGGATCTTGTCCTGCTACTTACAAGCATGTATATTTCTTAGACATTCAATACCTCAGTGTTGGGGATCTTGTCCTGCTACTTACAAGCATGTATAATTCTTAGACATTCAATATCTCAGTGTTGGGGATCTTGTCCTGCTTCTTACAAGCATGTATAATTCTTAGACATTCAATACATCAGAGTTCGAGATCTTGTCCTGCTTCTTACAAGCATGTATAACTCTTAGACATCCAAAATAGAATCTTTGTTAGCTGTTTCTCCTCACTTTCTTAATCACTGTCTTTGTTAATCACTGTCTTTGTTAATCACTGTCTTTGTTAATCACTGTCTTTGTTAATCACTGTCTTTGTTAATCACTGTATTTGTTAATTTATTTACTTCATTAGTATTTCTCCTGGAACAAAAAGTATCCCTTCTCTCCCTTCTCTCTCAGTGAATGACTTGTACTTCATGTCATTAAATAAGTTTTACATTCTTAGAGAAACCCCTTGCAGACAAACTGTCTCCTGTCGAGTTTGACATATATTATAATTTAATGATTACACTGGTTAGCAAATTTGCTAACGTTTTTTGAACTAGAATTTAATACGTCATTTCTGATTGTTTCTGTTGTGCTGATCTAAAATATCATAGGGAAAATTACCAACTGGCTCTAGCTTGTTTTTCTTTTTTTCTTCAACTGACAAATTGACATTGCAGTAATAGAAAAAATGTATGCTTTTTAAAATCCCTTTCAACATAAAATAATAAAAACAATCAATAAAAAATATATAAAGCTCACATATAATGTTAAGAAACATTTGAACCTTTTCCGTCTTTATTCAGGTTCTGTTCTAGCTCTCTTTACTTGCATTTTATAATCGATCAATGAGGTGTCTTTTTTCACAGTCCAGCAGTAATCAACAAGTATTGAAGAGCTCCAATTGCCTCGATACCTTGTCTCCACAGCAGCACAGCAGTAATCAACAAGTATTGAAGAGCTCCAATTGCCTCGATATCTTGTCTCCACAGCAGCAATGTCCTGATGA